TAAATCTAACATTTCCACAAGAGTCCAGTGAACACTTAACTAGCCTTGGAGATATCTGTCATTTACCAGTTCCTGTAAAGTAACTGGATATATTAAGATTGGTTGTTTGGAAACCTTAAGCAGTTTCTCTCTAATCTTAAAATGCAATGCTGAATTTGGTTCTTTAAATTCCTCTCTCTGGATCTGAAATTTTCTATGATCTGTTTTAATAACTTTTTCTAAGGCCTGAATTTTGGCACTCATATCAACCAAGTTTTTCAGAGATAAGCCAAGAATTATCAAGATGATAATTATCATTATGTCAACCCCAGTTAAGTTGATTATCCCTTCATTTAATTGACTTAATTGCTCCAATTTTAAATCATGCATTGCATAATCATACAAAGACCTATCTTTCTCTAGCATAATTATGTTTCCTATTTTTAATGTGGGGAAAAAAACCTCTTTTTTTAAAAACTAATTTCCCCCTTTAAGAATTCCCAGTTGTTTCACCAAGTCTGCTGACAATAGCAATGAAGATGTGAGGCTGACTGCTGCTACATAGAACAGTAGAAGTCTGAGAGGTTTTCATGACAGCTACCTAGTTTGGCAGCAGCCAAAGAAGAGGGTCCAGGGGAAAATCCACCAGGAGAGAAGAAAGGAAAACCCAGCCAGTGGGGGCAGTGACGCTTGTTGCGTGTAGCTCTGGCCTATGCCAGTGACTGCAAAGCCACAAGCAAGAGGCTTTTTTTTCCCCATGAATTTGTGACCTAAAGCTGGATGCCAGATGTGGCAAGAATTCTCATTGGTCTTAGTCATAAAAACCCAGAGTCAGATATAGGAAATAATGCTGAAAGATCAGAAGATAAGAGCAGCCAGTCAGTACTTCTTTCTTCTACTGATTCCTTAGAGGTGATCCTGTCCCTATAAATCCTCAGACTAAATGCTGTGTTGGTAAAACCTCAGACTGACTGACTGCTCAGACTGAATGCTCTGAACTCCTGTCTCCTCCCACCTGATGTCCCTCTCACCACCCAGCCATAGCACTCCCATCTCCACCTCCCTAGTGCTAGGATTAGATGCAATGATGTCAAGTGTTGGGATCACCTTTGTGTGAACTCTGTTTCTTTTACACAGAGTCAATATCATATAGCACAGGGCAGCCTTGAACTCACAGAAATTCATCTGCCTCTGTCTCCCAAGTGCTGGGATTAAAGGTGTGTGCCACCACTGCCTGACTTTTATGGCTAACAAGTGGCTTAACTCTCTGCCTTTTGAACTTCAGGCAAGCATTATTTGTTAGATCAGAAACAAAATATCACTATGTCTAGTAATACTTGTTTTTAGAAAATTGGGTACATTTGTGCTTGGTGAGCCCTGCATTTAGAATTGTAACATCCTCTTGATAAATTACTCCATTGGTTAGTGTTAAAAGACCCTGTTAATCTCTTCTGATGAGTTTTTGTTTGAAGTCTGTTTTTTAAAAATTAGGTATTAGAACAGCAATTTTTGACTGTCTCGTCATTCTGCTTGTTTGGAATATCTTTTTATATTCTTTTACCCTAAGGTGATGTCTGTCTTTGATGATGTGCTATGTTTCTTAGAGGCAATAAAAGGAGACTACTTGATTTCTAATCCAATATGTGATTTTGTTCATTTTTATTGGGAAATTGAGACCACTAATATTCAGTTGTTATTAAAAGATGTATGTTAATTCCTGCCATTCTGTTGATTTTGTGATATTTTCTTCATTAACATTTGCTTAAACTATTCCAGCATTGTTTAGTCTTTTTTCCTGTAGCATCTTGAAATGCTAAAACACATCATTAAATATGTTTATTCTTCTCTGAAGTTCGAAGTATTCCTTAATTCTTTTTTAGAACTGACTTGGTAGTCATGAATCCACTTAGCCTGAATTTCTCCTCTAAAGTTTTGTTTTGCCTTCAATTATAACAAATATTTCTGGGTATCATGCAGCTGTGGCTTTCAGAATTTGAAATCTCTCTTTGAATATATTCATTTCCTCTTTGGGATCTTGGAACATGTTATAATCATTAATTTGAATTCTTTGTCTGAAATTTTCTCTAAGTCCCTCTCACTGGAGGCCATACTTATAGAATTGTTTTCTCAAGAATATATGTTGTCCTCGTTTTTAAGGATATTTTGTTTATGCATTAGAACCTTTATATCTGGTGTTAAATTGATGTTTGAGGGTATTTTTATTTATTTGAGTCTTTATTTGTTTTAAAAAATTATTTTTATTGAGATACATATTTTTTTCTGCTCCACTCCTTTCCTCTCTCTTCCCCTTCTACCCTCTTCCCTGGTCCTCATGCTCCCAATTTACTCAGGAGATCTTGTCTTTTTCTACTTCCCATGTAGATTAGATCCATATATGCCTCTCTCTTAGGGTCTTCTTAGTTGTCTAGGTTCTCTGGGATTATAAATTGTAGGCTGGTTTTTCTTTGCTTTATGTCTAGAAGCAACTTATGAGTGAGTACATGTGATATTTGTCTTTCTGAGTCTGGGTTACCTTCTCTCAATTTGATGTTTTCTAGATCCATCCATTTGCCCACGAAATTCAAGATGTTATTTTTTTCTGCTGCGTAGTACTCCATTGTGTAAATGCACCACATTTTCCTTATCCATTCTTCAGTCATGAGGCATTTAGGTTGTTTCCAGGTTCTGGCTATGACAAATAATCCTGATGTGAACATAGCTGAGCACATGTCCTTGTAGTATGACTGAGCATCCTTAGAGTGTATACCCAAAAATGGTATTTCTGGGTCTAATTTTCTGAGAAATCGCCATACTGATATCCAAAGCAGCTGTAGCAGTTTGCACTCCCACCAGCAATGGAGGAGCATTCCCTTTACCTCACATCCTCTCCAGCATAAGTTGTCATCAGTGTTTTCGATCTTGGCCATTCTTACAGGTGTAAGATGGAATCTCAGAATTGTTTTGATTTGCATTTCTCTGATGGCTAAGAATGTTGAACATTTCCTTAAGTGTGGCAGACCAGTTCAACTGGAGCACTGGGGCTGACAGGACAGGGTCTCAGGAATAGGTGGATAAGGAGTCAGCAAATGACAGAAACAAAACTCAAATGAATTGCATCTGAATGCATCTTTATTAGGAAGGAGGCTCATCCTTTATACAAAAAAAGACTGCTTAACAGTATGTATTGTTTTTTCATGTAGTACAGATTATTATTAGAATTTTATATCAGATACATGAGAATAGATTTTCATCAGACAGATGTTGTGGTTGGTCATGCTAGACACGGTTTGTCATTAGTTTAGATATAAATCATTATCTAGTCTATGAGTTCATGACATTTTGAGCTAAGGGCAAACAGTTGTGGTTAACAGTCACACAGTCTACAGTCTTTGTATATTTCTGAAATCTATGCAAAAAAAAAAAAACCTTCTTCTTTCCTCCTTCTCCATATTTCTAAGTCCTTTTCAAACCTTCCCCAAAACCAATCTCAAGACATTACAGGCATTTATTTCTCTCTTTTATCCTTACCCCATTTTTGTTAAATCTGTCATAATTGCTTATTTAAGTTTGCCTTTTGTTCTTTATTTACTAAGCACAAAATTAAACCTGGAAGCCTTTTTCCCTTGAATGTTAATCCATCTTCCTCCATTAGCATCATATCCTCCTGTATATGGCAATGGCTCATCAGTAGACTCTGGAAACTTAAACATACTGTCTTCCCTTCCAGAAGAAACCAGACTGTATTCCTTAGAACATAAGCAGGTAATGCCAAAAGTGCAAGGACTCCAATGCAGGAAGCACTGCACACACATCTTCTCTGCGGGCACTTTTTCTTGAAGCTCGGGCTTCAAGGTCTGCACCCCATTTTTATTGGATTATTTGTTCTTTTGATAACCAATTTCTTGAGTTCTTTGTATATTTTGGAGATCAGATATCTGTATGATGTGGGGTTGATGAAGATCTTTTCCCATTCTGTAGGCTGCCTTTTTGTCTTGTTGGCCATGTCTTTTGCTTTACAGAAGCTTCTCAGTTTCAAGAGGTCTGATTTATTAATTAATTCTCTCAGTGTCTGTGCTACTGGGGTTATATTTAGGAAGTGGTCTCCTGTGTCAATGCATTCAAGTGTACTTCCCATTTCTTCTATGAGAGTCAGTGTGGCTGACTTTATGTTAAGGTCTTTGACCCATTTGGACTTGAGTTTTGTGCACGGCAATAGATATGGATCTATTTTCATTCTTCTAAATGTTGTATCCAGTTATGCCAGTACTATTTATTGAATATGCTTTCTTTTTCATTTATGTATGAGGCATATATATTTGTATTTGGGGCATAGATTTCCTCTTGATGGATTTTTTTCCTGTGACTAATATGAAATGTCCTACTTTGTCTCTTTTGATTGATTTTAGTTTGAAGCCTATTTTGTTAGATATTAGGATAGCTACACCTGCTTGCTTCTTAGGCCCAGATGATTGAAAAAAATTTTCCCAACCCTTTACTCTGAGACTACGTCTGTCTTTGTGGTTGATGTGTGTTTCTTGTATGCAGCAGAAGTATAGATTCTGTTTTCGTATGCAATCAATATGTTATCCTGTGTCTTTTTAGGTGTGTTGAGTCAATTTATATTAAGGGCTATTAATGACCAGTGATTGCTATCTCCCATTAATTTAGTTTTTGTTGTTGGTAATGTTAATTTGTATGCTTTTCCCTTCTTTGGGATTTGCTGCTGTAAGATCACCTATTGTCTGTGTTTTTGTGAATGTAGTCAACATCCTTGGGTTGGAGCTTTCTTTTTAGTACTTTGTGTAGAGCTGTGTTTGTGGCTAGGTATTGGTTGAATCTGGTTCTGCCATGGAATATCTTGTTGTCTGTCTAAGGTGATTGAAAATTTTGCTGAGTATAGTAGTCTGGGCTGGCATTCATGGTCTCTTAGTGTCTGTATAATGCTTGACCAGGACCTTCGTACTTTCATTGTTTCCATTGAGAAGTCAGGTGTAATTCTGCTTGGTCTGCCTTTATATGTTAAAAACATATGGAACATACAAATTTGTGTGTCATCCTTGCACAGGGCCCATGCTAATCTTCTCTATATCGTTCCAATTTTAGCATATGTGCTGCTGAAGCGAGCATTTAAGTCATCTTTCAATGGAGGTGTTTTCAGTGTTCGGGTAGAATGTGCTGTAGTATGGCTGAAGTATCATTTTACTTTATTAGACTGGTGTTCTGTACTGTCCTAGTTAGGGCTTTAATTATTGTGAAGAGTCGCCATGACCACAGAATCTTTTATAAAGAAAAACATTTAATTTCAGGGGTTTACAGTTTCAGAGGTTTAGTGCATTATATATCATCACAGTGGGAAAAATGGTGGTATGCAGGCAGACGTGGTGCTAGAGAAGGAGCTGAGAGTTCTATATCTTACAGAGGCAACAGGAAGTGAACTGTGTTACTGGGTGTAATTTGAGCATAAGAGACCTCAAAGCCAACCCCCACAGTGACACACTTCCTCCAACAAGGTCATATCTTCTTCAACAAAGCCACACCTCCTAATAGTGTCACTCCCTTTGGGGCCCATTTTCTTTCAAATCACCACATTCTACTTCCTGGCCCCCAGAGGCTTATAGCCATATCATAATGAAAAACTGCATTCAATCCAACTTCAAAAGGCCCCATAGTTTATAACAGTCTCAAACTTATTTAAAAGTCTAAAGTTCAAAGTATCTTCTGAGATTAACACACTCTCTTAACTATAATCTCCTGTAAAATCAAAATGAAAATTAAGATTACATACTTCCAACATATAATGGCACAGGATATACTTTACTGTTCCAAGAGGGAGGAAAGAGGGCTAATGAGGAAATACTGGACCAAAACAAGGTAAAAAACTAGCTGGACAAACTCCAAACTCTGCATCTCCATGTCTGATGTCAAAGTGCTCTTAAGATCTCCAACGTCTTTCAGTTTTGTTGACCACAACACACTTCTTTCTCTTGGGCTGTTAGCAGATTTCCTCAGCAGGGATCCCATGACTCTAGCAATGCCAACATCTTGGGGTCTCCAAAGCAATCTAGGCATCACCTTCACAGCTTCACACCACAGCCTCTCTGGGCCTCCATTCAGGGACACCTCTGCCACACACCTGGCCTCGGCGGCTTTTCCTTAGCCACAGAGGAAAGTTCCGTAATCCCTTTCTTTTGCCTTTGACTCTGAAGCCAGAACCATGTGGCCAAAGCTGCCAAGTTTTGATGCTTGCTGGGGCTGAAAATTAGCCCCCTTGTTCAATTACAGCTTCACCAGCTTTCTGATTTTCATTGTTTGCTTCACTGCCGATGCTTGGCTGTCTCGCGACTGGATGTGGAGACCAGACTGGCCTTGAACTTAGAGAGTCGCTTGCCTCTGCCTCCCAAGCGCTAGAATCAAGGGTATGCATCACCACACCCTGACCTGAAGCTAAGGGTACAGTGATCATATTTGCCAGGTCTCTTATCTACGGATGAACACAAATTTCCTCAAACAAACCTGGGAGGATGTTTGGTCCTCCAGGTCACTTGCCATGAGTTTGGCCTCACAGGGGAGCCTTAAAAAGGAACAAGTAAAACTACCCCCCCCCGGGACACACTTGGAATGGTCAGGCCTCAAGAATGAATAGTTGGCCTTATTACAGATGGCTGCCAGAGTAACCAACTATAAACTATCTGTCTGGAGGAGGGGCAAGGTGGGGCAGCGATTCATGATCTCAGCTAGCACACCTGAGAGGGAAGGATGGGAGGAGGAGCCCAAGTGCCCAGCCCTATAATCACACAGCTAGTCTGCAGCAAATGCCCTGCACCCTCACTCTGAACCTCTGGGTTCCTCCTATGCATCCAAGATCATCGTAGACAATGACCTCATCAGCACATCCCAAACCACAGGATCAAGATCAGTGAATGGAGCTGATCTTGTCTCTGACCTTGTCACCAGAGACAAGCATTCTCTGGGTTTCTCAACATTCACATCACAGGGCTCTGTACTTGGTGGCCATTGAGAGGGAGAGCGGGCACAGATTTGGCTCTCTCGCTCGGTTTCTCCCTCTAGAGTCTACAGAGTCTCTGTTGTCCTGGATCTTTCACTGGGTTGCACAGTCATCTGTACCCCATAGTCCTCTGTGCCCCCCCCATATGTCCATCAGGGTCTCAGTCTGCCCACCTGCCCTCCTGCCTGGGCAGAAGGCCAATAGTTTGGATGTGACTGACGTGCAGAGTCCAGTTTCCAAGAGCAGGAAGAAAGAGAGAACTCGGTTTAACCTCTTTTTCCTAGAGCTTCAGGAGGAGCCAACTCCTCAGTTCTGTTTCATACAGCAAGGCAAGCATGCCCAGCCTCCCTGGCTCCTTCCATGATGGAATTCTCATCTAGTTTCTTTTTCCTTGTCTGCAGGTGAACATTTTTAGGGTCTGCTCCTGGTGTGCCTCTCTGTATTAACCTTTTCTTTATTTCCACTCTTCCTTTTTTATAATTTATTTTATATTATTTTTTAACAAAGAAAACCATCTTTTTTCATTTTACATACCAATCTCAGTTCCCACTCCCTCTCCTTCTTCCATCCCCTCCACCTACTCCCCCACCTCACGCCTCATCCACTCCTCAGAGAGGGTAAGGCACATTGTTCTGGGGAAGGTCCAAGACCCTCCCTACTATATCTAGGTTGAGCAAGGTATCCATTCACAGAGAATGGGTTCCCAAAAAGCCAATACAAGAGTAAGGATAAATCCTGGTCACACTGCCAGTGGCCCTGCTCTCTGCCCTAGCCATATAACTGTCACCCACATTCAGAAGGACTAGTTTGAACTTATGCTGGTTCCTTCCCTGTCCAGCTGGAGTTGGTGAGCTCCCATTAGCTCAGGTAAACTGTTTCAATGGGTGTCCTCAACATGGTATTGACCTCTTTGTCATATTCTCACTCCTCCCACTCTTCAACTGGACTTTGGGAGCTCAGCCCAGTGCTTTGCAGCAGGTCTCTACCTCTGCTTCTATCAGGACTGGATGAAGGTTCTACGGTGACATTTAAAATATTCATCAATCTGACTACAGAGCAAGGCCAGTTTGGGTGCCCTACCACTATTGCTTAGGGTCTTAGCTGGAGTCATCCTTGTGGCTTCCTGGAAATTTCTCTAGTGCCAGGTTTCTTGCTAGCCCCATAATGGACACACTTCTCTCCTTTCCCTTTGTATTGTATTAGTTTATTGAGAATTTTATATACGATCTGACCATATTCCACCTTCATTCCCACTCCTCTCAGACCCACCTTCCCTTCTCTATCCAACTCTATGTGCTCTTTCTTTTATTAACTTGTCAAGAATAACTACTTGTGCTGTCTACACTCCTGAGTATGACCTTCCACTAGAACATGAAGAGCTTACCAGGGGCCACACCCTTAAAGAAAAGTGACCCTCCTTTCTCAGTCGCTATCAGTTGCTCTCTCAGCTGGGAGTAAGGACTTCATTCCCACCTCCCTCTCAATGCTGGGATTTTATCTGGCCTGAGTTTCTGCACAGTTTGTGCATGCTGTCTCTACTGCTGCGAGTCCATTTGTGCAACTGCCCTGGTGTGCCTGGAAAACACTTCTTCCTGGTAGTCATTCTCCACCTCTGACTCTTAGAATCTTTCTGCTCATTCTTCATAATGATCCCTTAACTTTGGAAGGAAGGGGTGAAAATATTGATTTGGGATTAATCATTGTTCTCTTGTCTCTACACCTTGACCAATTGTAAGTCTCTGCCATTTCCTGCAAAAAGGAACTTCTCCGAAGAGGGTTGAGAGGTATATTGTCTATGTGTATAACAGTAAGTTGTTAGGAGTCTGTTTAATTTTATGGCCATTTAACAAAGTAATAAGGGTTTCTTTTCTTTGGGCTTTGTGACTGGTCTAGTCACAAGTTTTTCGTCTCAGTAACAGTACCGGGTATGGGTTTCAATTTGTGGAATAGGACTTATTCAGCCAGAAAGTGGTTGTTACTCTCATAAAATAAATGCCACTATTATGACAATGGGCATGTCGTGTCAGGTCAATCATTGTTGTAGCTCTCAGTGTTCACAGGTGGGTACAACTGAAGATGATGTTTTCCTCTGTATTGCATTGCACCTCCTAGCACTATCAAAACTGGCAATAGGGATGAAGCTTCCGGGTTCAATATTTTCATTCCTCATTATGTTCCAATCAATTTAATTCTGTGTCCTTCCGCTTGTCTTGCTGTATTGTTTAGTGCAGTGGTTCTTAACTTGTGGGTCACGACCATTGGAAAACACCTATTTCAGATGCTCTTAGAAATCACCAACCATAATTTATTTTTGTTGCCACCTCATAACTGTAATTTTACTACTGAGTGATGCCTCAGTTCCTAAGACCATCAGACCTATGTGCTTTCCGATGGTCACAACCCATAGGTTGAGAATGGCTGGCTTAGTGCGTGTTCTCCCTCTCTCTGACTGCTTTGTCTCATTCCCGTCTTTTCTCCCTCTTTGTGTTTATGTCTCTGCTTTTCCATTTGACATTTTTCTCTCTTTTCCCTTGGGAAAAGGAGGCTGGGAAGTGACTCATGGACAGGGGCTCATGCCCTCTCTTAGAGATTGTGGTGAAGAGCAGTGTCCCACACGATGCTGTTGTCGTGTGTGTGTCTTGGGGGAGTGGAAGGAGGTTGTTACTAGGAGCCAAGCAAAAGGGAAGGAGAGTTAAATATATCAGGAAATGAGCAAGTTAGGTGTGTTGTGTCTGGAATGATAAGCCCAAACAAAATCCATGGGTAAAACATTTGCCAGACAAAAAATTGATATAAAAATTTTTAATAAAGAATAGACAGTGTAGACAGAAACAATGAGAAAATTCTCAGAGAGAGAAGGAAGGAGAGGGGGAGGGGAAGGAGACATGGGGAGAGGAGAAGGGAGGTAGAAGTGGGATGAAGGGAGAGACGGAGAGGAAATCACTCCACTGAGGAGAAACGAGGTCCTTTCCCAGCACTGGAGAAAAGTCAGCTGGCTTCTGGCTCTACTTATGCCGAGTTAGAGTTGGACAATAAGAGGTGGGCAGCTGACTGACTTGTTAGATAGTACATCTTACAGCACCAGTTGTCCTTCCTGAGACTGGCCATCAGGGCGAGGTGC